AAAAATGATTTAGTTGTATCTTAGTAGGCTTTGTAATCTTTGTCAGAAATATTTTTGACGTTTAAATGTCAGTGTTTTTCTTACTATTATCAATGTTTTTCAAATAAAGTTCTATCGCATTTACGCTCGTTCACTCGACGTTTCACAATTTTAAATAAAACAATAATAATAGTAAGAAAACCACTGATATTTAAACGTCAAAAATATTTCTGACAAAGATTGCAAAGCCTACTAAGATTTTTAAAAATTCCGTCAACTTTCGATTAACAACCCTACAGCTTAACAGTTAGTGTTTGCTTAATTAATTTTTTTCTCAGAAACTATTAACTTTTCGAAGAACATCAGAGAGGCAAAAAAGTTTTAGAATAATTTCATCTATCTAAATAAAATATTTCCAATGTATTTATCACCATCATAAGAAAAATCTAGACAAAAATTGAACGAGGGTGGTTATGTTTAGTAACTTAGAAGAGTAGGTTGAAAGTACAAATAGGGCCAAAACGTGCCCTATTATGAGTTAAACATATTCCCCAAATTTCATTTTCCTAGCGTTTATGGTTGTTGACAAAAAAAAGTTAAACCAAAATTTTCCGCCATTTTTGGAGGGGTGTAGCTCCTTAGGGGAGCCGAACTCGCCCATGGTTCATAAATCAAAGTACCCTTAAAATTCACTAAAGAATCACCCCTTGAAGTTTGTTGCAGTCATTCAGATACACCTGTATATAGTGGATTCCCAGGTACATCGTATAATTCATAGAATTAAATCAGTGCTACATATGTTTCGAATCTAATGATTCTTCTTCTTTGGCACGACTAAAATTTAAGAAAAAACAACAGGAAATGACATACAGGGTGCCCATTATGTATGGAATATAGTGTATATCTTGGTAGGTATCAACTTTATAAAAAAACATTTTATGCAAAAGTTGTTTAATATTTTATTTACCATAATAAGACAGCATTCAATTGTTTTTATTTCAGAAAACAAATGAGCAACGAATAACATTTGAAGTTTTTTAAATAGCAATGTACCCTGTCGTTAGGCTCATTTAATAGAGATTTTTTTTCTCTTTACGATGCCGTAAAATTTTAGTACCCTTACATCAGAAAATTTTTGAAAAAAATGTAAAAATTGTTTATTAAGAAAATTTAACTAATAACATTAATCTAAATATCCGAGATCGTCAAGTACCTCGCAGTACCTCGAATTATTAGAGATGTACACTAATTTTTCGTTTATTTGTTTTATTTTGTATGTAAATTTAATTTACAGTAATAATTCGAGGTACTTGACGATCTCGGATATCTAGATCTGTTATAGATATCGAGATTATATTAATCTAGAAGATTAATGTTATTGATTAATTTTTATTAATAAACAATTTTTCCATTTTTCTCAAAAATTTTCTGATGTAAGGATACAAAAATTTTACGCCATCGTAAACAGAAAAGTAATCTCTATCAAATGAGCCTAAAGAAAAAATACATTGCCATTAAAAAAAATTTAAGTATAATTCGTTACTCATTTGTTTTCTGAATTAAAAACAATTGAATGCAGTCTTATTATGGCAAATAAAATATTAAACAAGTTTTGTATAAAATATTTTTTTATAAAGTTGATACCTACAAAGATATATACTATATTCCATACATAATGGGCACCTGTATAAGTATTACATAAAGAATTGGAGTTAAAATTATAAAATATATAATAAAGGTAATTTACCGTCAAAAATTAGGTTGTCTGATGGAACTGAACATTCAAAACCGTCTGTAAAACATTTAATTCTTAATAAAATCACAACGCGACAATCTTACGAAGAAAACAGGTATCACATCGAAGGTTAAAACACGATAGAATAAGAAAAGTGGAGTGCAATTGAGCATGTGCGGGGGTTACAGGTTTTTAAATTGATATTATTCATCGGGAAAATGTGTGAAAAGGCAGCTATTTTTATTTTTACAGGAAATTCAAAAAATGTCTATTGTTATTGGTATCAACGAAATCGTTCATTAGTATGTTCTTTTTGTTATTAATGTTAATGTGTAACTCTTCATAAAGGTCCATCTCTCTCGATTTTTTATATTATGCTATTAATTAATGCTATTATGTTAAGTAGTAAACTTTTAAATTACATTTAAACACAAATTTGTACATAAATCAAAGTATAAAAACATTATATTTGACTGAATTTGATTTTACGGGAACAATAACGAAAACACAAAACTAAATATGTACATTATAAGTGGTTAGCGAAAGCGGGAACAACTACCGAGCATCAAGGATGTGATACAAAACGCCAAAAATGACCTGTATTTTCATTTTAAAGTATGGAAAACTAGATATCGTTATAAGTATTGTGATCAAAGTCAAGTTAATTGAACTACATTAGGTCATCAAATAAAAATCTAATATCAGTCACAATCAGTTAATCTGATTTCTCTCTTTCCGGGTATGGATTTCTCAAATAGGTGTAGAGTGGTCTTCGAAGCGGGATGATTTGTTCATTAAAGTTAATGACTTCCGGATTATTTTTTATGAATCTATTGATCTCGTATGATTCGATTATTTCCATGAGGTTGCTTTTTTGTAGTTTATGTATTAACTTAACGTCTTTCTTTTCATCAAAATCGTGATTATTAAATAGGAGATGTCGTCCAAAATTTGACCTATTGCTGTTTTTGTGTTCTTTGATTCTCCGGGTCCGCGTAGCGCAAATTACTTAGGCATTTTCCATCAATGTTTATGCATTTTTGGGTCCAATCCAGTTGTTTAAATGCACTCTCCAGGACTGTGATGAACAATTTGGGTTCAACATTGTACCGCCTTGTTTTACTCGCAATCAGTAGTTATAAATAAGTATGGTGTATCGATAATCGACTCTGCATTCTTGAAGTGCTTGCATAACTGCCATCAACTTAATTTAAATTAAATTTTATAAATAACTCTAAATACCCATCTTGAGTAAATACCTCCGGGTATATATCCAGGAAATTTACTTATTAATCAGATTATCAACCAATAGCTTAACCAGATATATTGCTTTCTTATTCTTGATAAGGAAACATCTCAATTCTCAATGACCTTTTATTTTAAATTTAATTACACCAATGCTATCCTTCACCTCTTCCTCAATACCATACATTTCATAAGATTGATTTAGTAGTGCTTAAGTCTATCTTGATTAAGTATGTGCTTACGTCTGTCTATTTCAAAGCCTCTATTATTTGTCAACTGCTTTATTGCAGACATTCGAACTCTTTAATACTTTTGTGAACAGCAGGACCAAGTATGCGTTGACGTTGCAATTAGTGCTAACCTCGCAATTTTCTCGCAAACTCTCTTAACACAAGCTACTTGTAATATTCTAAATACATTGACGACACCATAAATCTTAAGAAGTATAAAAGAAAAGAGAAGAAGTCTTAAAAAGCAGAACCTACAGGTTAATTTATTCATGTAAAGTAAAATTGATTTTCTTGTAATCTGCAAGGGTTTAAGTAACAAGGATGAAATAGAAATTTATCATTGCTTTTAATAAAGAACATTTTTATAATGAACCAATATAGAATGTAAAATACATTATTTGTAACAGAATACAGTTGCTACAGTTAGTACAATTAGTAACTATTTCTGAATTTTATGCGTCAGCCACACACGCTTCATGTACATTTATAGAAATGTTTTCTTTAGAAATATTCGTTGGAAGAATTTGATTTGCAATTTTCGCAATGGAATCGTCAACATAGTCCTCAGCGTCTGTATATGATATTCATCCCTCGTGCCGTTTAATGGTCGTTAAATTTATACTTGAATCTGCCAATAAACATGTCGAAGATCGACGAAAGCAAAGAGTGGAAAATTCACTCGGCTTTGGCATTTCTAAATAAGCAGCAATTTTAGTAGGCATCTTTCGAAAAGTATCTAACTGGTTGAATTACTAACTTGATTTTGTCAAAAAACAACATTTAATTTGTTTAATAATATAAATGTGATACTATTTTATTTGGTGAATATTAAAAGCAGTCAGCAATATTGCAGCCTTCTTTTAATTTAAATTCTGATTAAAACAAATAAATCATTTGATTAAAATCGTGATCTAAATCAGCTTAATTAAGTTGATGTCATAAAATTCTTGAAAAACATTTTATATTTTGATATAATTTTTTAGGTATGAAAAAACTACTCTTTTTTATGATACACAATAATTTATTTTCGTTTATAGCACATCGGTACGTTCTTAAAAATAAAAATTAATTTCTGATCCTTAAATACATAAGTAGTTACACTTTAATTTTCATCTAGGTGTTTTTGAATAACTATTTACATATTTCCCAATGATATTGTCTTAAAATTTACACTTGATTACAAAATTGGGTTCGCATCGATTTTCTAATTATAATTTTTTTAAATGTTTGTCCTAAATACATTCCACTTTTTATTTTTTCTTTTACATTAAAATTTATTTTTTCTAGGAGTATAAATTTCGATCGATTCGTGTGGAAACTCCATTGGTATTGGTTGTAAATGGTAAAAAACTGACAAGAGATAAACAAGCAAGCGTTCAAATGTCGATTACAAAGAAGTTTGAATAACAACAAAAGTGGTTATTATAATAATATCATTGTATAATGAGAGCTTCCAATGTGTTCTTTAAAAAAGTTATTACTAACAATTTTTTAATACCCTATAAAAAGATATTAATAAAAAAATGAAAGAAATTATTTATTTAGATTTTTAGAAAAAGAGCTAGTTTGGACCAATAATTGTATTCCTAATCTTAATTAATATTAAATTAAATTAATAAACAAACACAATCACATCTGTTCGTAATAAACGCTTTTTTATATACGAAATAAAATAATCGAGTACAGTTCTTTCTTCCTTTTGAAAACTTTTCGTTCACTTCATTTTTTCCGTCTTCCTTTTTATTGTAATCCTGAGTTCATTAAATTTTTCACCGAAAAAGGACGGGAGAAAAAGGTAAAAAGGTTTTATGGAGGAAGCAAAATCCAGCAAAAAAAAATCAAACTTGTTTTTTTTTATTATTCACTACTAAAAAATGATTATCACAAACACTTATCACATCCAAAGACGATTTTATCGATTTTGTGATCTTATCCATCACAAATTCACATCGTATAGGTGCAAAAAGTTAACCAACACCTCTTCGAACCACTTCCGTTTTGCTGGATCTTTAAAAGCCGGCGTAAGAGCTTTCATATCTAATTCGATGAGTGCTTCGTTTTGTAATAATCGATTTAATTCGCTGAGTAATTCAACGGAACCGTGTATTTTTAGTAAACTTGGATATGTATAGAAATAGTATTGGACTCGGAGATTTTTTGCAGCCCAATTTTCCACAGTTTTATTTCCGCTTGCAACTTTTACTTTTCCTATATGATGAGCGTACCATGGACCAAAATAATTTGTTAACTCGGCGGTACTCATATTTGTTATTCCCTTTGTTTTTAAGCGATCTTTTATTCGCCGATAAATTGGTTTTTGATAAACGAATACCTGAAACAAACAAAAAATATATATATTAAATTTGCAAAAACAATAACTACAATATGACAATAACAAAGGGAAGCCTTAACATACGAAATTACAAAAATATTCAAAAAAAAACATCAAATATTATAAATAAAAGAAAAATTTTAAAACGACGTGTATTTTTAAACGTTGAAAATGAATTTATTTCGTTCGATTATTGATTTATATATGAGAAGATTTAAGGAATAAGACAATTGTCTTTGTTTCTAGACGATTTAAATGGATTTATGGTATAGATTATCGAAAATACTTTCCAAACAAGAATAAATCGCGTTTTCGTGAGGGGTTTCGTTATGAAAACGAGCCCATTCAAACGAAATGCCAGTCGTATTGAATATTTATTAGTGATAATCAATAATAGAGCTCAAACGGTTCATAAACTGATTGAACAAAAATAAAACGATATTTATACTCAAGTATTGTGTTTTTAGAGAATAATTGTCTTAACTCATTTAAAATCCGTTACATTACGGTATTATTTACACCTACATCTGCCGTGTATAGAGTTCTAAATGTTCTAATTCCCTGAACAGGCCCAATGTATAAAGTTCTCAAATAATTTCAAAGTTTCACATAAATATTCAAGTAGAAAGATGTTCTTTGAATTTTGCAATTGATTAAGTTATATTCGTTATTAATTCAAGGATGTAATAAAAAATTGTATTTGAAACTTTTCTTTATAAATAAATAATGTTTATGACCAAAAATTGTTAAATTATAAAAATGATCCTTTGATAAGGTAGCAGATAGTGAATTAAAAATGCAAGCAATGCTCTCAATACATATTATTTCAGAGGATGTATATTTAGAGGAAATATGCCCACCAAGTCAAAAACACGTTTATTTCTCGTAGAGAATGTTTGTAAAAAACACGAGTATTTCAGTTTCTAGTTATTTATGTGCTAGTTTTGATGAGTGTTTTATTTAAAATGTTATGAAGCGATAAATAGTAGTAAGTCCACGCGAACTATTCTTAAATTTTTTTTTGATTGAGAAAGATACTGCTAAAAATAATAGTCTTAAAAATTGTTAGTGAAAGAGTGTGTTAAGTGTGTAGGAGTGCGTTGAATCATGTGAAAATGTCAAATAACAGCGAAGGTAAATAATCTTGAATTAATAAATGGGTTAGGTTATGTCGACATTTTCATTAATATTTGAATATAAACATTTTAACTTTTTCAACATGCATTTAGGTAAAGTTGTACTGTACCTAGTGATCTTTTTATTTAAAATACCTATTTCATAAACCATCTTGTTTTCAGTCGTCTACTCCAAGGTGGTCTCCTATTAAATTAAAGGTCGTGATGATAGTTCCAAGGATTCAAACTACTGTTAAACAAGCGACTGTCATTAACAAACTCACTTCCTTCGTCTGTCGAACGGACGTACTCACCACAGAAAGCTTCTGCTCCATATAAAACAATATATGGACCACTCACTTTCACTTGAAATACACCACCCATTTAGAATTAGAGTACAATTTTGAAACTTCGGTAAAATAATGCTCTATTATCAACTAAGAAAATGCTCGCAATACGCGCAGCTATGCATGCATTAACTCTTCTACCCATGCTCTCTATTAAGTGGTCGATGTCCTCCTGGGGTATATCGTTCCATGCAACCTCTAGATGGTGTCGAAGTTCATCCAGATTCTCAAGAGGCCTGGGTACTTGGCTTAGTCGTCGACCCATCATATCCCAGACATGTTCAATTGGCGACAATTCCGATGACCTTACAGGCCAGGGCAAAATCTGCAATCCAACCTGCTCCAGGAACCTTCTTGTAACCACAGCAGTATGGGGTCTTGCATTATCCTGTTGGAAAGTGGAATTCTGTAACGTCTGCATGAAAGGTACTAACACCAGTTCCAGAACGTTGTTGATGTAACGACGTGCGTTTAATGTGCCTGGAATGAACGTAAGGGGTGACCTTCGTCCAGCACATATCGCCCCCCAAACCATAACCCCAGCTGTTAAGGCTGTGTGTCGTCGTTGAACGAACTCCAAATTCCGTCTTTCCCCTAAATGTCGCCGCACCCTTCTACGATCATCATGTACCCATAAACAAAACCTTGATTCATCACTGAAGACGATGTCATTCCATTGATCAACCCACCCTTGCCGTTTTTGACAACATGGAAGTCTGGCTACTTTATGGGGAGGTGTTAATGGAAGCCGAAGGTAAGGATAGTGTGAATGAAGCCCAAAGAAAGAAATTCTTTTGTACGCAGTTGCCATCGACAAGTGTCAAAGTTCTCGTCCAATCCACAGCAATCGACCTTGTTGTTTGAAATCGGTCCCTGGTAGCCATCCGCCCAGGGGTCGATCTTCAAGTGCGTTGCTTCTTCGGGCGGGTCTTCCAGCAGGAAGGCGCCTCTGAATACCTTCTTCGAACCATAAAGACCATATCCGAGCAACTGTAGTGTGGTCCCGATTCATACCGATAATTCGCCCCCCTATCAAAGTCATTGATATGGGCAAAATTTCGACGACGTAGCACTGGGGGCATTACAAGGTGTTTACTTGACAGTTTGACAATCAAATAAACTGACATTTTGTGATCAGAAATTCATTAATTGCTAGGAAGCAAAATATTGAAAGTTGGAGATAACAATGGTACAGGAAACATAACAGTTAAGTTTTTTCGGCGGAAACTTTTATCGTTTCTTAGTTGATAATAAAGCATTATTTTTCCGAAGTTTCAAAATTGTAGTTTGAATTTTAGTGGGTGGTAGATTTCATATGAAAGTGAGCATATTTATAAATTTTTCAAATAATTTACTCAGTAAAGGTAATGCAGATATTGGTCTGAAATTAATGAAATCGTAGCACCATGAAGTTATTACATTGTTGTGGAATACACAGTTGCCTGAACTATATCTAATATGTTCTGAAAAGCATTGTTATGATGGTAAAATTATGTCAACCCGCAGAGTGCCAAAGAAGTCATGTGAACAAGCTGTTTTGTAATTTGACACAGCGATGTGCATGTATATGCGGCACCCACTTCAAGTTTGGTAATAAAATACTATAAAACAGTGAGACAACCAAAAATATGTAAACGTTTATTTTTTTCATACGTCCGAGAAAGCATGGGCAAGACAGAATGAATATTGAGCCGTATTTGTTACAGAATATTTTTGCTTATTTTATCTATACGAACATAGACTGTGTTAATTAATTATCGTAACCGACGTCATCATTGCAAGTATGCAACCAATGTAGCAACCAATATGACGTCGGTTACGATAATTAATTAACACACTGTATATTGCATATTGACAAATTATACTTATAACATTTTTCGAAGTAAATGCATATTTTAATGCATATTTTCAATATATTATTTTCCAATAAGTTTCAATTTGACATAAAGTTACCGCAATGTTACAGTTCTGCAAAGAAAACTATGGTAACAATGGTAATTCCCTATTCGGTCATCGGCCGGTGGATCTCCATTCTACCGTAAAACATTTAGAGCTGTGAGTGTTCTTGTGTTCGTCGTGTGTGTTAGTATTATATATTTAGATTAGAAAAGAGTAAGTAGGAGTAAAAATGTGTCTGAAATTGTAGTAGTAGTACAAATTGGAAATTATTGTAGAATTATGCCAAAAGTGAAGTCGTCATTGTCAGGAAAATTATCCCAATAGATGCGTGAATATCCGGTATTCAAGACTGATGGTAACGTACTTTTTTTGCTAGGTGTGCAACAAATCTGTGTTAGCCGAGAAAATATTGTCGGTAAAACAGCGGCTAGCAAGTTTAATACACATAGAACTGGAAAAAAGAAATAATGAGAAGTAAATTACTCAGGCTTTTTTGGTGAATGTTCCACATCCAATTCAAAAGATGTTCAATGTGCAGAAGATGTAGTGCACTAATTTCCACTGATATACCTCTATATAAAATGCGCACCAAAAAATTAGTATCGTTCCTAGAATCACACATAGAGTACAAAGTACCATCGGAAAATACAATTCCCACAAAATATGTTAAGGAACTTTACAAAAATACCATAAACCACAAACAGAAATACATGAACGGTGGCTTTTTGTGGACTTCAATCGACGAAACAACAGATGCAACAGGAAGATATATGGCAAATGTCATTATTGGTATTTTGGATCATGATGAGTTGATCGCTAAACAACAATTTTTGTTTCGTACTTGACAAAGCGAATTATAGCACTATATATTGCAAGGCTTTTCGATGATTCCATTAAGATTTTGGGTGAGACTTTCAACAGAGACATGATTTTACTCTTTGGATCAGATGCTGCTCCCTACATGGTAACAACAACTCAGACCATACAAACGTTTTATCCAAAAGTGACAAACTTAACTTGTCTTGCACACGGACTTCATCGAGTTTGTGAGCAAATTCGATGTATGTACACTAACGTCGACTGGCTCATCGATAATGTGAAAAAAGTATTTTTAAAAGCGTCATCAAGAGTAGCAATTATTAACGTCCTCCACAATCGGCAACTACTCGCCGCGGAACATGGATTGAAGCGACAAACTACTATGCCACTAACATCGAAATAATTGGGAATGTGTTTGATGCATTAAATGAAGTGGACGCTCCGTCAATCAAAATTAAGTCAAAGGACCTACATGACAATACGATAAAATCAGACTTGATTTTCATTGCATCAAATAATGGCTTCCTTAGCGCATCAATAAAAACATTGGAAACAGCAGGGCTTCTGCTTTCTACACAGGTTGAAGTAGTGATACAAACTCAGGACTTAAATAATGGCATAAATAGTGAAGCTGCTAAGTTAGTAAAGAAAAAAATGGCTATGGTTATTTCAACAAAATCATGGCTTTTCTATTTTGAAAGAAATTTTTACATGTTTGAGTAAAGGATCCGCAGAAATACCTCTGTAGAGCATTAGCATTTAAATTTGCACCTATAACTTCAGTGGAAGTGGAATGAAGTTTTTTAATGTATAAGAACGT